AATGCAGTAGTTTCAAAGCTACTGTCACTTACTTGATCGAGGTGTACTCAGTGACAGTAGCTTTGAAACTACTGCATTGAAATATTTCCTTTACTTGATCGAGGTGTACTCAGGGAAATATTTCAATGCAGTAGTTTCAAAGCTACTGTCACTGAATACACCTTGATCAAGTAAGGGAAATATTTCGATGCAGTAGTTTCAAAGCTACTATCACTGAGTACACCTCGATCAAGTAAGGGAAATATTTCGATGCAGTAGTTTCAAAGCTACTATCACTGTGTACACCTCGATCAAGTAAGGGAAATATTTCGATGCAGTAGTTTCAAAGCTACTGTCTCTGTGTACACCTCGATCAAGTAAGGGAAATATTTCAATGCAGTAGTTTCAAAGCTACTATCACTGAATACACCTTGATCAAGTAAGGGAAATATTTCGATGCAGTAGTTTCAAAGCTACTATCACTGAGTACACCTCGATCAAGTAAGGGAAATATTTCAATACACTTTTAGATTAGTAGAAAGTCACTTAAATTATAATAATTATTGAACACTGTATTCTTTGTGTGAGTTATTATTTTGTATTACTAAGTGAATATTTGAAATAAATGAAATTCATTGAAGTTCTAATAATAACCAGACCAAAAATTAGGGTTAACTTTTATCAAAATTTTGACTGGAAAAAATATAAGAACCACACCTAGGTACTAAATTTCTTGGTTTTTACATACATGTTTTATTTATTGTTATAAAAGTAACTAAAATGTAAAAAAATCAAAAACTTCTCAGTAAGCATGCACATGTATTATGTAATTCAATACTTTGTTTTACTATAATTTGCACTATTTTCTCACCAAATACTTATATAACAGATTTCAGCCTTTAGCTTGAGGAGGGAAGGATAACAATATGGAAAGACAGAGGTGGGAATGAAAAACATATGGACAGTTGAACTATTTTCTCACCAAATACTTATACAACAGATTTCAGCCTTTAGCTTGAGGAGGGAAGGATAACAAAGAGGAAAGACAGAGGTGGGAATGAAAAACATATGGACAGTTGAACTATTTTCTCACCAAATACTTATATAACAGATTTCAGCCTTTAGCTTGAGGAGGGAAGGATAACAATATGGAAAGACAGAGGTGGGAATGAAAAACATTAGCAGAGATTAGATTGACGATAAACTCGTCAGTGAAGTTATAATTATGGGTGATTTTAATTTCAGGCGTATAAATTGGAAAATGTTAAGACTCAAATCAGAGGGAGAAAAGTTTTTAGAAACTCTTCAGGATAGTTTTCTTCAACTACTGGTTAGGGAACTTGTTAGGAATAATGCTATTTTAGATTTATTGTTAACTTCTAATAAAGAAATGGATGTTTTGGGGACATTGCTCAATTAGATTTGATGTTTTGCTGCATGTGGAGATAGGAAATGAGATTTTGGTTCTAAATTTCAAAAGAGCAAATGTTGAAGAGACGAGACAAGAATTACGTGCTGTGAATTGGACAATTGAATTAGATGGTGATACAAATCAAGTGTGGAAACTTTTAGGAATAAATTCTTAAACATTCAAGGAAAGCATATTTCTTATAGAAAAACAAAGGGTAGCTGCAAGTAAAAAAAACAGATTGGCTCATAAAGGGTATAAAGGATAAAGTTAGGGAAAGCATTGTAAGTATAAGAAGTTTAACTTGACTGCAATGATGAGAGATTTGGAGGATCATAGAAGATCAAGAGAGTTAGACGAAATAGTAAATTGGGAAATAAAAAACTACATGAAAAAAATTTTAGCCAAAAATGTAAAAATTAATAGTAAGAACTTCTTAAAATACATTAAAGGTAAACAAAATGTTAGGAAGGGAATAGGGCCTCCAACAGAATATATAAGATTAGGAAGGGAATAGGGCCTCCAACAAAATATATAATGTTAGGAAGGGAACAGGGCCTCCAACAGAATATATAATGTTAGGAAGGGAACAGGGCCTTTAATGGTATATATAATGTTAGGAAGGGAACAGGGCCTCCAACAGAATATATGTTAAGAAGGGAATAGGGCCTTCAACAGAATATATAATGTTAGGAAGGGAACAGGATCTTCAACGGAATATATAATGTTAGGAAAGGAACAGGGCCTCCAACAGAATATATAATGTTAGGAAAGGAACAGGGCCTTCAATAGAATATATAATGTTAAGAGGGGAATATTCAACAGAATATATAATGTTAAGAAGGGAATAGGGCCTCCAACAGAATATATAACAATAGGAAGGGAACAGGGCCTCCAACAGAATATATAACATTAGGAAGGGATCAGGGCCTCCAACAGAATATATAACATTAGGAAGGGAATAGGGCCTCCAACAGAATACATAGGAAGGCTCATAACTTATTATTCAATTTTTCTAATGAAGATACAAGCAATATTCTCCATCCTGAAGAGCTACTAGATGGAAACAAGATGATAAATTCTGAGCTTGTTAAGAAAAAATTGGGAAGTTTAAAGAACGATAAAATTCCTGGACCAGATAATATTTACTCAAGGGTTTTGAAAGAGGTTATTTTTTCTAAGTCCATGAATAGTGGACAGGTGCTAGATGACTGTAAGATGACAAATGCTCCTTCAAGTTAGGCGATACAACTTGTTCCAATATTTATAATTCTTACATCAATGGTGGGAAAAGATTTTAATTAACAAATTTGAAAATGTTGTTGGATAGTCAACTGGTTTCACTAGGGGAAAATCTTGCTTAATAATCTTTTGAAATTCTTTGAAGAGGTTAGTGCTCATATAGATGAGGATTAGTGTGTGGATTTGAAGTATCTGACAAGATGCCATATAAAAGGCTTATTGAAAAATAATTTCTACAGGTGTAGTGGATAAGTTGGGTCTTTGGATATAAAACAGGCTGGTTGGAAAAAAACAGACGGTTGTTATAACTGGAGTTCAATCAAACTGGATTAATGTCACAAGTGGGGTACTTCCGGGTTCAGTATTAGGACCTTTCCTCTTTTTTGATCCACACCAATATCATAGATGAAAAAATGGTCAATAAACTATTTAAGTTTGTCAATGGTAGGGGTGTTGCTGGCTGGGAGGAGGATGCTGATGCTTTAAGAAAAGATTTAGATTATTTAGTGAGTTGGGTGAATAAATGGTAGATGGCCTTTAATTGTAATAAATACAAGTATAATTTACATGAGAATAACCTTAACAGTGTTAATGAAGAAAAGGATCTTGGTGTTATGAATAATAAGTCTCTTCAGCTATTCAAGTAGTGTGCTGTTTATAGTGGTAGGGCAAATAGAATATTAAGTTGCATTTACAGAAATATTGAATACAAATGAAAAGAGGTTATAATTTCACTGTACAGGTCACTGATTTAAGCCATATTTGGAGTGTTGTGTTGAGTCTTGGGTTCCTTAACTTGTGATTGGCCTTTGGAATGAGTTTTCTTCAGATGTCATTAATTTAAGGGAGTTTAATGGAAAGCTTGACAAATATTTTAATAATAAGGAATTGCTTTGATTTTTGTTTCTAGTGTTTAGTTTGATTTAATGGATAGGTTTGTTTTGTTTTTTGAATTTTGTGCAAAGCTACATGAGGGCTATCTGCACTAGCCATCCCTAATTTAGCAGTGCAAGATTAGAGGGAAGGCAGCTAGTCATCACCACCCACCGCCAACTCTTGGGCTACTCTTTTACCAACGAATAGTGGGATTGACCATCACATTATAATGCATCAATGGCTGAAAGGGTGAGCATGTTTGGTGTGACGGGGATTCAAACCCTCAGATTGCGAGTTGAGCACCCTAACCACCTGGCCATGCTGGGCCTAATGGATGGGATTAGCCTAAATGTCCTTTGCTGTTATGTAACACATGTTTAATAGTTAAACATGATTCAAAGAGCAATAAACAATAAAATTAAATAAATGCAGATGTAAACTGTTACAATCCTGATGCTGTTTTAAGATAAATAACTGTAATTTTCCATTTCACTTTACAATCATTTTAGAAAGAAGAAAGGGTAACTTAGATTTATTCATGTTTCTTGTTTGTCAGATTTCACGCCAGGTTACAGGAAGGCTATCTGCACTAGTCATTCCTAATTTAGCAGTGAAATACTGGAGGGAAGGTCAATCCCACTATTCTTTTCTTATAATGCCCCCACTGTTGAAAGGCGAGCATGTTTGGTGGGACAGGGATTCGAACCTACAAATTACAGATTGTGAATTCGAGATTGTGAGTTGAGTGCCCTAACCACCTGGCCAAAGAATTATTTCATATTTTTTTGTAGTAGTTACAAGGTTGGTGAAATGGACCAAGTCCACAGTGTTTGGCTAGAGAAAACAACATATATACTTTGAAATTTAGGAGTTTCTAGAGACTACAGAATTTAAAAATAGTCAGAGTCCGAGTCAGACTATGACTCATAAATTCACAGATAAATCTTTAGTAATATTTCTTGACTAAAAAAATCTCATTTTTGTGCACGAAAGTCTTGTAATGTTTACTAAAAGTCTACCAAATTTTGTGAAGATACACTTATTACATCAAAAGTTATAGTACGTGTGGTTGTATGATGGTTGGACAAAATTATCAGGCCTAATTTTTCCAAGCCCGTTCCCTTGGCTGTGGTTTCGCTAGATAGTAGATAAGAACTAAATGTAATATCCCATAAATAGCTTTTTTGCAGTGGAATTTTTAACTATCGCAAAAAAAGAAAAAATGTACTTTAAAAATAATTTATTGTGTATTTCTATATGAATGGAATAAAAATTAATTTTTATAAAACACACACCGAATGAAAAAGGAATAAAATAACAATATATATTAGTGCTAAATATGTGTGTGTTCAGGTTTCTGTATTTAAAAACTATGCAAGCCAAACAATACAGCTGACACTCTTTGTTATACTAAGTATCATACACACATGCCAGTCTGTAATAAACCAGGTATAAGAAAAGCAGTCTCATTTTGAAGAGGTTCTGTCAATAAACTATTTTCAATGCTAAGCTCAATCTCTGCATTTGTATCTCAATGTTTTGGAAAAAAAAACACTGGCCATGGTTAAAAACATTCATATATTTTGTTAATATATAAACTTTTTTAAGTTTCGAGCTTCCAATGTGAAAAAGTTTGTTTTTAACTAATTGGTAAACAATGTGGCCATTTAATTCTACGAGTATTTCTTTTGATTATTTTATTCTTGTTGTTACAGTTCAAGCAGACATCGACCAGATTAGATGACCTTTCACACAACTTCTTTATCAGGACTGAAATATTATTTGAACTATCATAGGCTTTGCTAAACTAAGCTGAAATTTTAAAAACTATGATTTGTATCTTTAACTAATGTGATGACCCAAAGATCCCTGACTAACAATATAGATGAAATAAAGCTAGGTGGATGTTGAAAACTAAGTTACTGAAGAACTAACAAACTCATATATACCATTTTACATTCTGTTTTTCAACTAATGATTAAAAAATTACAAATGTTGTGTTTGAGGAGTTAAGGCCATGTGTACATATCTTTAATAGTCTGAGTATGATATTTGTTATCTGAGGAGTTAAGGCCAAGGGTACATATCTTTAATAGTCTGAGTATGATATTTGTTATCTGAGGAGTTAAGGCCAAGTGTACATATCTTTAATAGTCTGAGTATGATATTTGTTATCTGAGGAGTTAAGGCCAAGTGTACATA